TCCTCGTAACAAGCAGCCAACCTAGTTAGCTCTTCTGCTCCTACCCTGCCTTTCTTGCATTCTCTTTTCCAGTGGCCGACCTCGCCACAATTTAGACATACATCACGGGGTATGAGACCCCGTCGTGCATCTCTCATTTGTCCCCCTTCATTCCTTCTTCCTTCCACATACCTTCCTCTATCCCCTTGGTCACCATACGTTCCTCTCCCACGGCCTCGTCCACGGGCCCCTGCCCATGGAGGATTTCTGCCGGGGACCTTCTTGTCTACCACTTTCTCTACCATCTGCGCCATCAACTTCAACTTCCTCTTGTCCTTCTCTTCTTCCCTTCTTGCTACCACCTTTTGAGCTTCCGCTAACTACTGTCCTATGGGTTTGGTTGTCATGTCATCCATTTTCTGTAACTTGGACTTTATGTCCGGGTAACACCCTGACACAAATTCCAATCTCAGAATATTTTCATTTCCTGGATCTTCTGGGTCCAGCCCAGTGTATCTTCGCATGTTGCGTTTTAGCCTTTCCAGATATTCAACTGGACTTTCATCTTTTCCTTGGGGTTGACCAAAGGCCAATTTCATGCTAACAGTCTTAGGGACTGTTGCCTCTAGCCCTTTCAACAAGAATTCTTTCATTTCTGCACCCTAGGCACCCAGGCGGGGGCGGGGGGGGAGTCAGAAATCTGGCAAACTACAGAACACCCGAAGCAAGTGTAAGGGGTGGGTTCAAAGCAGGAGGCATATGTCGAGCAGCTCACCTATGGAGGGGGACAAAGCCAAGAGTTTCACTGTGTACACAACAGCGTTACAGGGATACAGAAGGCTCATCGTTTGTGGTAGAAAGAGCAAAAAGAAGAAAAGGACAGTGAGTACAGCTTGGATCCTGGCAAGGGCAGGCTTGTCTACACCTCCCCAGCATAATGGATATGGGAGACTGGGGTGGGTAGGTGTTTGACATAGATGACTTGCATGGTACAAAAGATGGCTTAAATTCCTGTCATAAATGTATGGAGGCCATACCTTTGCATTGAATTCCAATATTGCCATAGGTTATTTCAGTTTTTCACTGGCTGCCTGTTTGCCTTTTGGCTGGAGCCGCAGCGTTTTGTGTCCATTTGGGAGCTCACCCTGGGCTTCTCTGGTCCCCCATGGTAATGTTAGACCTGTGATGCTTGGCTTGCTACATGATCAGCTCCCCTGCCCCATGAGGCTCTGTTTGCCTTGCAGTTTTGTAGGATGTAGTCTCTTATCCTTCTGACTGAGCCTTCCTTGCCACAGTCTGACCATCTGAGTGTGGGGAACATATGGGCCCAGCAACTTGTCTGTGCTCATTATGTGTAATCCATAGAATGTAGGCTTTCTCTCTCTCTAAACTTCCAAAGAGTTTAGAAAAGTTACTGTTTTAGACTCCAGCTGCCAGGGACCATGCTGGATAGGGGTTCTGTCATTCGACAAGCAACTTTTCCTAGCTGTGTGTCCTGCCGTATTGTGTGCAGCCTGTATTTGTTCTGTGCTTTGTATGGGTGCCCCTCTTCTCTCCTCCCTGTCTGTATTATTCTCTAGAGCAAATCCTCCTCCTCGGTGTCAGCTTAATGGGACAGGAAGGCCTTGCCTTGTTTCTGTTCTGGGGCTGGGGTTGCCTTTCCTTTATCCCCCTTTATTGTAACCCTTCTGTGGCCTGTTTCTGACATGAAGAACTCTCAGGGCATGACCCCTTCTTTCCTTTGTTGCATGACAAAGGGTGTATTTTTGCTTGGAGACTTAGGTGGATTATTCTCCACCCAGCAGGGACTCGCTGGATGAACGTGGAAAACATTTTTTTAAAAAAGACCCTACCTCTGTGGAGTGTTTGGCCCATTGATTGTTAGCTGTGTGGATGGTCTCCTTTGGATGTCTCCTTGCTATTTCTACGATTGATCTCAGCGGTGTTTGCTTGAACTGTAGGGAAGTGTGTTTGGATGAGCTGACTTAACAGTCTTCCTCATGCTTGCTGGGGATTATGTGCAGTCAAGTGCAATGGGAATGATTGCCAGGAAACTGTGGGCTGGATAACTCAGTGAGTTGGAGCACCTGGCTGTGGAACCAGGGGTCTGGAGTAGAGACGGGCATGAACTGAACTATAAATGAGAAAAACTGATAGATTGAGCTGATTTGTGGTTCGGTTTATGACCCAATTTGGGCATTGTGTTTGGCTGAAGCAAAATGAAATGCTTAACGTTTTTCCCTTTGATGCTTTATTTTGCTTCGGCAAAACAGATGCCCACTTGCTGCCTTCCCACTGCCCCCACTTCCTCCCTCATTGCTTCAGGAGGTATAATAGAAACAGATGAACGTGGCTACATCCATGAAGGGTGTTTCCTTTTGACTATTTTACAGTGCTCCACGTTGTAAAAACACTGTAAATCATAGGATTATACAATGCCTGCAATCTTCTTGCACAGTTCCACGTCAGCAATAGCAAACCCCTGCTGATTAAAAGATTCCTTTAGTGATTTCAGGGTACATAAGAGACTGTTGCATTGTGTACTAGTTGTGTTGACCCTAAAATTGCCTTTAATGAACAATTATTTGCTGTTGCTGCTGACCTTATTTTTGTTATGCACACAAAACTGCAACAGGATTTCAGTCATTATTTAGGTATGTGTTATCCGGTTCTCTAAAAGGGAAAGCTCTTAAAAATGAGAGAACTGAGACACGGAGGCTTTCTATTGAGGTTTGTTTATTGCAAGATAGAGACGCTGCTGCAGAAGCGGGGAGAAAGCAAATCACCTACTTAAGGCGATAATGGGTTTCTCCCAAGAACAAAGGAATCGGTACAATCTCTTATAGCCTGTCCCTTCCGGGCGATTGGGGTGGGCGCACAATCTAAAAGGGCGTGGAGTTAGTTAGCGAAATTCATTGGATTAGTAAAAACACATTTTAAACATGCGCAGAACAGTTAAATAGATCTTAAACCGTTGCTGACTTAGCCTAGAAGGCTGCATTCCATTCTTATCGACTGTAAGCATGTTGCTTTTTCAAGAAGCGCTAGTCCTTGAGCTACGAAGAAAGAAAGGGGGAGGGGGTCGGGCCTGCTTTTACGAGGCTGGATAATCTTTCTTCTGAATAAGTCTTTCTAACGGCCTGTTTCAAGTGAGAACAATAGCCTGCTTTTACGAGGCTTCTGCCTGATTGAATAAGTCAAACATTTTACTACTATCATATGTACAATATATAACATTATACTGTACTATATTGTGCATTTATATTGATATCAAACTGTTTTGAAACACTTATCACTTCTACGACAGGATTTCAGTCATTATTTAGGTATGTACAATATATAACATTATACTATATGGTGCATTTATATTGATCTCAAACTGTTTTGAAACATTTATCACTTCTTCAACATTTGTCCTAATTTTACAATACTGTCAAATAAACACCGGTATTCTGTACACCATGAGAGGCAAGCAAGAATAAGTCAACCTTCAATCTTACATTTGGATTTCAGTAGAATTTACTAGTGAATTTTCTGGGTTTTTAAAAACTTCATAGTCTGTTGTGTGCCCACTGCATGTTTATAAACTCCCCCCTTCGCTGATTTCAGGGTTTGTGAGGCATACATTTTGCAAATGGCTGAAGGAGGACATTTGTTTATTGATATTTAGGTCACATGTTTTATCCAATTTTCATTGTAGAAGTTGAAAGAACAGCCTTCTCCAAGGGGTTTTTACAACTCATATCCATTATGAAAACATTCCCAAATCTTTTTTTTTTTTTTAGAATAGGGTGAAGGTAAGTGGCTACCTTCCTTGCAACTGTATGCCATATGCAGCATGCCTGACACCATTGAAGCAGATAGATATGGGATAAATGCCCATGGGCCTCATGATGTGGCAGCTTTTGGTGTTGCCAAGCATTGTAACTTTGGCATAACTGAGGGATGTAATTTTATTTTCCTTTAATATTTCTGCCAGGTCAAGTGCCCCTGAAATTGATCTGTTTCAGACAGGGAAGTTTCCACCGTTCTTCTCCATACTCCTGTTCACAGGAGATGGTAGACCCTGTGTCCACCTTCTTTGCCTTCATCCTCACTACATCTGCTCAAACTTGTGTGGTGAAAATTCTGTCCTGGAGCCTTTTTTTATGACAAACTTTTGGGAGCCTTGGGACAATGAGGCAGTGAGATCAGGGAGAGAGGAGGAGAAGGCCTTTAATAGTCAAAACTCACTTCTGGATCACTGGCCTATATTTATACAACAGGGTTTTGCCTCTTGTTTGGAATTGACGGTGCCATTATGATTTGGCCTGGATTTGCTTTTTCCCCAGACTCTCCTCTAGCTTGTCCTTTCTCCTTTGGTACCAAATAAAATGTTGAGCAGAGATTGTCTTCCTGGAAGGAGAACAGGATACATCACTGATGCTGTTGTATCAGCAAGTAAAATATTGCCAACATTTTGGTTTACTGCAGAAGTTAGAGAAGTTAATTATTTATTTCTTCATTCATTTCTTTATGAATTCCATAAATTCTCTGTCCAGCACAATAATTGTCATATTGGATGTGAGACTGCAGGAGTTATCATCCAAAACAGTAACTAAAAAACTCCAGCTTCCCCCCCGTATGGATGTGCCCTGATATTTTTCTTTTTGCCAGCCTTTTTTAAAAAAAATCGCACATAAACATATTAAGTTAAATATTAACATAAGAAATATGTGAAATGTGCGTACAAGAAATGTACATAAAATTCTTCTGTAAAAGATTAATTTTACTGTATGACCTGCACTGAGTTTTATTCAAGGTCCAGAGCAAATAAATATCCTGAATTTTTAAAGCCAAAAAGCTCATGTTACCGAGTTGTCCAAGAATACTAAATCAGGAAGCGCTTTGGTGTACTATTATTATTCCCAGATGAGGCCTGGAGTGTTTCTAATCTGTATAGTTTCAGTCTGTGCACTGTATGCTCCATCCTGCCAGTTAAAGATTAAGCAATACTTGTTGGTAGAAGTGATGAAGCCATATATTATTACAAGTCAAAGTGCACACTGGTTGCTAGCTAGCGTGCGAATTCGTGTAAGTCAGCATTGCTTCCTTCTCTGAAAAATCCTTTATTGAGCAAGAAAAAGGGGGAGGGAACACCAGACCGTGCAATACTTTACTCACACAGAACTCCAATCTGTCCCTTTTAAAGGGGCCCAGGAGAAGACAGCCAGCCAGAGGAAACCATGGCTAAAGAAAGGAGGAAATTTTTGGAGGAAATAAACAAGATGCTTGCTGACAATCAAGACAGCAAGAATGAGGAGCTGATGTTTACTTACAGAGGTGTCCTGTATCCGAGCCGCCTCTGCAGTGCCAAAACCTTTGAAGCTCTGGAAGGCATGGAGGCGAGGAAGGAGGACATGCTGGTAGCAACTTACCCAAAGTGTGGTGAGTCTCCCTCCCTTCTTTTGAAAATGATTTTAAAAGGGAAATGATTTTGGTATCAGTTCAGAAGACGGAAAAGGCTGTGGGATTTGTTTGTGGTTTTGGGTTTCAGTCTCCAGAACCCCTGAGCCTGTGGTCATGGCGGCTGAGGGATTCTGGGAAATGCCGTCCAAATTAAAGTAATGTATCCAAACTCCGTATCTATTTGACTGGTTGTTGATTTGATGCAATATCTGTTTAGAGTCCATCCCCGGCACTACCATTCTCAATACCTTGAGAAAAACAGACAAACAAACCGTAGAAAATCATCAAAATGTGGGAGGGAGGCCAAGGCATCTGCCAAACAGTCCCTGTGGAGGAGGTGGTGGTATACTGGCCACAGTTGGCAGGGTTGAAGCCTTTGATTTTTTTGGAACAGGAGGGTCAATGATATCATCTACCATCCTTTAGATTAGAAACTTCCCTGTTTGCTCTGAACAGCTCCAGTCCTCATAATAGCTGCTGTATTGTCTGTAGAGGAATGCGTTTTCTCAAGGACAGTACAATGTTGCAAGCTATTCCTTTTATAAGATAAAGTATTTGAGGATGATTTTGGTTTTGAATGGGTAATTAATTCACCTTGCCTACATGTATGGCTATGGATCAATCCATCTGCCTGCATTTTGGAATTCTTCTTATGAGAGGATGTCGCCATTTCCAACTCCCCAATAATTTTTCTTGGTTTTTTTTCCATGTAGCCACCTAGAGTGGTCCTGATCTGACCAGATAGGCGGAATATTAAATAAATAAATAAATAAATAAATAAATAAATAAGTAAGTAAGTAAGTAAGTAAGTAAGTAAGTAAGTAAGTAAGTAAGTAAGTAAGTAAGTAAGTAAGTAAGTAAGTAAGTAAGTAAGTAAGTAAGTAAGTAAGTAAGTAAGTAAGTAAGTAAGTAAGTAAGTAAGTAAGTAAGTAAGTAAGTAAGTAAGTAAGTAAGTAAGTAAGTAAGTAAGTAAGTAAGTAAGTAAGTAAGTAAGTAAGTAAGTAAGTAAATAAATAAATAAAAAAATACCCCTTTATTAGTATTTTTACTGCATTACTTCTCTCCCCTACCCTCTTCACCTGAATCCTACTCACTTGGTGAGAGCTTTAAAAACTTACAGCTAAAACCAAAATAGCTATAGCCTCTGATGGGGGAATCTTCCCAGTCATTAATAGTATTTCATGGACCAATAATACCTATACAGTATGCTTTGGGGAGCCCAATTCTGTTAACATCATTTACTGTATAAACAATATTTCCTTGAGAAATAAATCAACATGGTTCTTCCCACTTGCTGTGGGTAACTTAGTTATTTTTCCCTGGAGTGCTACCTGTCATATTTTGGAAGACCATGCTCTAATTGAGACTCCTTGCAGGTCTCTTGAAGGTTTATAGTTTGCCCTGCAGCTGCCAAGAGAGGGCATATTATAGCTCTATATCAGACAGCCTTATTGATGCCAACAAAGATTGTAAGTGGTGCGCGTTCTGGAGGTTTGTTAACAGTGATTAACCTAATTTTGTTAAATACCTGGTCCCAAAATCATCCAACTTGCTACAAGTTGGCCAGTGTGACTAGACACGGAACACTGTTACCTTCCCACCAAAGTAGTACCTATTTATCTACTCGCATTTTTACATGCTTTTGAACTGCTGGGTTGGCAAGAGCTGGGACAAGCTATGGGGGCTCACTCCGTCACGTTGATTTGATCTTATGACTGCTGGTCTTCTGACCTTGCAGCACAGAGGCTTCTGTGGTTTAATCTGCAGCGTCACCACGTCATAGTTTACATTAAGTATTAAAAATGTTTTACAGGAAGAGTAACAATTCTTTATAAGTAAACCTGAGAAGTTAAGTTACATATCGCTGATGTTATGCTTATGTAGAATCTGTCTCTGGGGATATTTTTGTGGACAATCTCTCACTCCTTTTCGAATAAATGGTGCCATTTATAAACAATGGTGCAGTTTTATAAACAAAGGACTGCACATGGTCAAACTAGAGTGTTAGCCTTCCTTGGCTAATTAGCTTTCGATAAAGTATCTGAGGGAAATACTGTAATATGAAACTACAGCAAGGGAATATAGTCTATCGCTTCATTGAGATCAGAAGGAGATAAAGAATTTAACCTTAAACCTCATCCCAGAAATATCCAACTTGCTACATGCCCACCAAAGGTGCTGAAAAGACCCAACTGCCTTACAACCCTTCCAACATTGTGGTGATGTTGCAGAGTTTATGTGGGACATCTGGAGTTATGTGCCAGTTTTGGAGCACATTCAGTGCTATATTGGAGTATTAATTTCTGGAGAACAGTCTGAGTTTGTGTTGCTTTCCCTCAAACACACCTTTGACTGTTACTGGTTTTTTTTTACTTTAGCTTCTGGAAGTACATCTGGAATAAACTCTTCTGCAGACAGTATATGGGGAGTCAGACTTACTTGGGGCACCCCAGTTATTGCCAGAAGTGGCAGCCCCAGGCTGGCAGGAAGTCAAGAAGGGACTAGAACATGGCATGTGGGAGGATGTGGGTAATCACAAGGGGATTCCTTCAGTGTGGGCTTCCTCTTGGCCCGAAGGGAAGGATTTCTCCCGGCCGGCTTCCATTGGCCAGTGGAAGAACTTGGGAGTAGGTTGACCAGAGGGCATCAGTTGGCTCTTACAGGTATTATGGGGCTCATTTACTTTGTCACAACTTCATTGGCAATTTGGGACAATGGGGTTGGATTCAGATGGCATGAGGGTGGCAAGCAAGAGCCTATCATTGGCATCCTCTCCCACTCACTCCTCCCTTTACATGCTGCAAGTCCATCCCTCCAAACTTGGTTTGGAGAAAAGTTTCATTTGCCATTGCATCCAATGGCTTTAGAAAAACCCATCCGGAATTTGCAGGGAAAGCACAAATTCCTGATTTGCTCCTTAGTTGTTTCCATTCTGTACCTCACAATCCCAAGACTCCCTCCCCCCTACTCATTTAGGAAATGGTCAAATAGTTTGGCATGACCTCTGAACCAGATGGTAGTTACACGTTTGGCAAGTAAGTGCAAGATACCTTATCAGCCCATGGCTGCAGACCTGCAGAGAGACTGGCGTGCATCCTCTCCACTGACTGTAGTGAACAGAAGTGGCCTCTTGTCTGCAGGCAGCTGATGTTCCTGAAATCCACATGGGACTCATTTACTTTTATGTTGCAATCCAAAAGTAAAAGAAGTGATACCTCTGTTTAGTGCACGGAAAATCAAACATTAAACACAAGCTTTTGTGAATAAAATTCATTTCCTCGAGCTCAGCTAGAAAAAGTATGAATGAACATCCCAAGATGGTCCTGGCAGAGATGATTTGCCAGGCATGTTTCTTAAGGTGAGTTGAGAGTTGGTTTCAACCATTTGGGGGAAGGTTGCTGTTAAATGCCTCAAAATTGGTGACATTTACGTTGCAGGTACCAACTGGGCACTACAGATTTTAAATGACATCTTAGCTGCACATTATGAGGACTTTCAAATGCCACTGACTATCCCAATGCTAGAGTTTGGAGCTCCAGAAAAATTTCAGGTCAGCATGAATGTAATGTTTGTTTATTGAATGCTCATATTTCTATGCTTAGTTTACCATGGTTGTTGTTAGTGTTACATGCTTCTAAGTTGCATCCCATCTGTACTGACTCTTTGAATGGGTGACTTCTAAAACGCCCTGTCCTTAACAAACCTGCTCGGCCCGTGCAAACTCAAGGCTAGGGCTTTTTTTTAATGAAATCCATCAATCTCATACTCGGTCTTCCGCATTACCAGTTGCCTTCTACCTTTCCTAGTAATACTGTCTTTTCCCTGTGAATCTTCTTTTCTTATTATATGCCCAAAGTGAGACAGTCTCCATTTCATCATTTTTGCTTCTAGAGAGAGTTCAAACTTGTTTTGATCTCAGACATATATTTGTCTCTCTGGTGGTTCATCCTGTAAAACTGCACGTATGCATCATCACATTATATTGTATACATATTTGTATTCCTATGCTGTTACTGTCTAACATAGTGCTAGATTTCTTGAACCTTCACCCCAGCACTAGAATATTTTTAAGTAGATCTGGTATCCAAGCAAATATTTTTGTCTTTCGATCCGAAATGCTTTACTTAGAATCTCCATAGATTTCAGTAGAATTTACTTCCACATTGGCACCTTATTCATGCATGGAACAACACAAGGAGCTGCTATATGCCAAAAAGAAGTGCATACATAGAACTTTCTCTCCATTAAAGGGAATGCAGCAATACACGCAAGGTTACGGACAGGGAACCTTCATGTGGACATTAGTAACCCATGGGTATCCCACAAAAATGTAAGACCTGAGTCAAAATTCAGCAAGTATATACATGTGTCATCTCTTGCTTCAGCAGTATCTGTGCTCCTTTTTGTGATAAAAGCAGTGCTATTCACTAATTCCTAAATATCTAAGAGAAACCATAGTACAGTACTTTCAATGCTGAGAAAACAATGACATTTAAAAATGGTGATTCGGTTCACCAAAGTGGAAACATTTGAATATAGTTGTCTTCTAGTGCCCAGATACCAACACTTCAAAGTCAGAATTTGATAAAATGCAAACAGTACTTTTGATGCTGAGAAAACAATGACATTTAAAAATGGTGATTCGGTTCACCAAAGTGGAAATATTTGAATATAGTTGTCTTCTAGTGCCCAGATACCAACACTTCAAAGTCAGAATTTGATAAAATGCAAGCAAAATATATGGATTATATGGAATATGCGGATTCATTAGCAGTAGTGTACTATGATGGCTTTTTGTACATGTGTGGTCTGTATTTGGGCCATTTTGAAGGCATGTTGTATCACCTTGCCTGCTTTGTTTAATATGTACTGTCACTCTGAGAAAGGCTCCATGAGCAAGGGTTTCATACCAATGAGGAGGAACCCAAGCATTAAGCTATGTGCCTTGAGGGCTCTGATGTCCATAATCAGTCCACCATCCTAGTTCTTTGGCCCTCCAATTCCACTTGTTTAAAATAAGCCTAGATCATTGTGTTTGTCAGGCACATGTGTGACTTTGCACACATATGATGCAAACTAACTCATCTGAGGGAAGTAATTGGTTACGAACAATTTATAGAGCAGTAGTCTACATTTGACTTCATTTTCATTCCAGCAAATTAAAGACCAGCCTTCTCCACGGATTTTTTCAACTCATCTCCATTATGATAACATCCCCAAATCTTTTATTGAGAATCAAGTAAAGGTAAGTGGCTACCTTCTTTGCAACTGATATTGCTTGTCTTTAAGTAGTAAATAATAGACCTTTTGTTATCAGTAAACAAATGGTGGGTCTATGGTATCCTCTGTGTAACTCCATGCTGTCATTTCCTTTCCCTGGAAGTTCTGTCCCAGGTAAGGTGATTCTACTCCAGCCAGTTCTTTCACATTACCCAGATCACAGTATATAGTGGATTTTCTTGCTTTCTTGCATTCTTCTTCACAACGTATTTCCAAACGTCAGCTGGAAATTTCCTTTTCAGACCCAAAGACGACAATAAGGCTCCTGAACAGGAAATAAAACTGATCCCAAAGCCTCCCCAGTAGGAAATGTTGGGAAGAAACAAGTCTGCTCCAGTCAGATTCCTGCCTTTCTTTTCCCTTCCTCACCTTTCAGTAGGATATGTGGGGATACAGGTCTCACTGATTTTTAATAGACCAGTGGACTGAACACTCTTGACACCAGACACTGCTGTGTGCTGAGGAAAGCATCTACCTGGTAAAACTATTAATTTGGTTTTAATTTTACTAAAATTGGCAGTTCCTGGTGGTTGAACTAAATTTTAATCCCAACTCTGATGGAGGCTTGCCATGCTTCTGTGTTACCTTGTTTTCCCTAGCCAAATAAGACATTGTTTGAGTTTCAAAAGGGGGAGCTTAGGAGGATGCAGAGTACTTGGCAGCCATTTGTTTAAAGAGGTGAGCGATAAATTCCAAGTACAACCTCCCTCCCAAAAGCTTTTTGCAGACTGCACCCATAGCCTTCTAATAAGCTAACCTGGCCTGAACAACAGCCATGAAACTTTGGGACTTTAACAAAAACATATATTTCTTGGAACAACCCTCACGAACTCGATCCACAGTGTGCGGAAGTTGAATTATCACTGAAAGCTCGTTGTTTCCTGTTTGATTGTTTTAATGATCTAATAAAGGTATCAGGTGCTTTTGCATTTGTATTGTTTTGGAGAGCACATGGCCTTTTTCTGATATTTCCACTGTAGTTTACAGTAGTGTGAGAATTTTAGCATATAAATAACTCATGTCACTGGATGTCAATAGTTGCTTTAATCCACAACATCAAATATATCTCTTGTCATTATTTTAATAGATTCTGGTGATATTTCGAAATCCCAAAGATGCTGCTGTATCTTACTACCATTTTTACAACAAAAACCCTTTGCTTCCAACTACCAGCTCCTGGGATGATTTCTTTCAAAAGTTTATGAGTGGTGAAGGTAGGTGAGATATTTATTTATTTTTGTTTATTTATTTCATTTATACCCCGCCTATCTGGTCTGCACTGCCCACATCAGATAGAATCCAGACTTAGCCATGCTTAGTGTGGATTCATATGTTGTAATGACTAAATTAATCCTTATTGGCTGAAATTCTCTTGATTAGCACAGTAAGTCACAACTAGAGTAGGTTCATTGAATCAATGGAGATTTGGTGAATCACATCCTGTGTAAGTGTCACTGATTCAATGGGTCTGTGCTAGTAGCAACTCCCTGAGCTAAGCAACAGGATTTCAGCCACTGATTCTTTAGGTTGCAAACCTTCTGATTCTATACATGCTTATATGGTAGTAAATCTGATTACTTTAAACAGGTCTTGCTTCTGAGTTTACTCACCTGAGACTTTGCTGAAGTGTCTAAGCATAACTATTGTATTTTTGGTTCCGTAAGATGCACTTCCCCCCAAAAAAGTAGGGAGAAAAGTGTGTGCATCTTATGGAGTGAATACTGTAAAACACAGCTGCTGGTGTGAGCGCTCCCCCACCCCTTCACACATGCACCTGCGAACTCCTGCACAAGTGCAGGGGGGGTACCCTGCTTTCCTCAGAGGTTCAGCCGGTCCACGGTCCTAAAAAAGTTGGGGAGTGCTGCTTTGAATCATGGGAGCCTTGCCCCAAAGAGGACTCTTCTTCCCACAGTGCAAAGAGTCAGCAGTGAGTTGTTTCTGGGCCATATGACCCCATAGGAATTGCAATCTCTTTTCCGCCCGCCATTTTACTCCTCTCAATGAAAAGGCACCCGCAGAGAGACTCCAACTCCAACAATGCTGGGCTTGTTATTGTGGTGGCCCGGCCCCCTGAAGACTCCTCTTAGTTTTTAAAGATGGCGGCTGCAGCTGCGGGACGAGGAGGAGGAGGAACAGGAGCAGGAGGAGGTGGCCCACTTCCCTGGGCAGCCTGGCGGGTGCCACATGCAGGGCCCAGGAGCTGGGAGTCATGTGTGGGTCTTGCTCCTGGTGCCGTGCTTGCTACTGTGGACCACCTCAGGGGAAAGCAATCGGCCACAGTGGTGGCGGGAGACACCACCGTGGGGAGCCTCCTGAGCCTCAGCCAGAGCTGGTGTTGCCTGGAGCAAGGAACGGCTGGTGAGGTTTCTTGCAGCAGATGCTGGCATTTGGCACTTTGGAGGTGGTAGAGGAGGAGAGGCAGTGGCGGCAGCAGCAGCTGGAGCATTAGGGGAGCCTCTCTGCCTTTGCACCAGTGATGTGGGGTCTTCCCCATCTCAGCCCACCCCTTCCCAAAGAGGGTCTGCTGTTGAAGCCCTCAGGCTGTGTGGGGGCCAAGCAGCAGCCACTGCCAGCCAGGAAAGCAGAGCAGAGCAGAAGGCAGCGGAAAGGGTGTCCAGGCAAGCTTCCTTTTCATGCAGGCAATGAGGCAGATAGTTTCCAGAAAACTAGAGTACTCAAACCTTTAAGTCTCTCCAATTGTTAATGACAGTGGTGATGGTTCTTAATTTTTATAGTTTATTAAATATTTTATTACACTATTTGGTTCGGAATATTTTTTCCTGTTTTCCTCCTCTAAAAATTAGGTGCATCTTATAGTCAGATGTGTCTTATGGAGCGAAAAATACAGTAAGATGGATTCAGCCCCAGGGGTGAAAACAGACAGAAACAGCTATGTCCTACTATATATCTTTGGCAAAGTGCTATTCTTAAATTGAAACTGGTGTCATTATTTTATGCCTGTATTTGATGTATTCTATTTGCCTTTCATTTCAGTTGGTTGGAAATCTTACTTTGACCATGCTATTGTTTGGGACAAACATATGGATGAAGTCAACGTCAAGATCATGACATTTGAAGAGCTGAAAGAAGTAAGCATTTTCAGAAACGGAGAGTTGGTGTTAACACACTCATTTTTCTGATACTTGCTATAGAGAATGAATTTTCTGTCTATCATTAAAGTGCGATTCAAAGCGAGTTCTTACTCAGGCCTGTGAAACGACATCACTTTTTCTGATCTCTGTCTCTGTCCTCCCTTTCTGCTATTAGAATCTCTTGAAGAGACTGAATCTCTTTCCCCCAAAATTTGGAAATCCTTCCCCATGAAATAATCATCATTATCACCATCATCTTAGAATGGCAGAGCTTGAAGGGACACTATGGAAAGTTAGCCAAGCTTTTTCACTCCTGGTCTTCTGACACAATGTGATTTGAATGTGAATTTGTTTGACAGTGTTTCTGATTGTTCCAGTATTTTGGCATCATCATCATTAGCAGCAGCAGCACTGGCATTGCTGGTGTACAACTGTAAACCAATACTAAAAATTAGTATTCAAGACCTAAAAATGTGCAAATGAAATTATGTCTTTGCAAAATCACTGATTTTTGAATTTCAGGAAGCAAATTAGCACCTGTTGGCAGTCATTTTAATTTGGTAACCAAAGATGGTAAGGTTGGTGTTTGACTGAACCTAAGGTTGGTTTTTGTATACAGGCTGCCCTCATCCCTAGGAATTCATTCTTAAATGAATTAAGATGGGACTTTGAGTAAATACAAACTTAGCAAGTGTGGTGTGTGAAACTCTGCCAGCTCTACCAATTATTTCATATATTTTTAAACTGAGGAGAGTTTTTTTTAAAGAAGTGTGAATTTAGCATGACAGACTGAAGATTAAAGAATTTCTAATAAATGATAAATGAAAATATTTGTTTTTCTGTAAATTTACGTTTGAATAACAAATGGAAAGTTAGATTCAGATGCCTTACACCTAACCTTTTCTGTGAATAAGATTCATCTTCTTTAAATCCCCTATAGCTATCCTCCATTCACAACATCTGACTATACACTTGGAACAGAGTTCAGAATATTACATACTAAAAGGCATTTGTTGTGCTGCTAATTACTTCTCCACACCAGGTTGCTGTTACCATCATTATTGAGCTGATCATGCAAATAATTCGTTGTGGTGCCCGTTATTAACACAGTATATTGTTACTAATGACAGTACTTAAGAGCCACCAAGTCAAATTTGACTTATAGTGACTCTTTTCACAGTTTCCTAGTTACAGAGTAGAGATGGGGGTATTTGTATTCATATATGGATATGAATATCCCCGCAAAGGTGACGATAACAAGGGTCCAGCCCCATGGGGCTGGACGGTCCGGTCCACTCACCGATCCACCACTGCTGCGGACACCGCAGTTCTTCCAATGGCTCTGGAAATCGCAATCGGCTAGCCACTCCTGGCAGGAGGCGCGAGGACAAGCATTGCTGCAAGATTGAAGAGTGGCTCACAGATTGCGATCTGCAGAGCCATTGGAAGAATCGTGGCATCTGCAGCAGCGGTGGATCAGTGAGTGGACTGTCCAGCTCCATGAGGCTGGACCCTCATTAGTGCCACCTGTGCAGGGATATTCGTATTCATATACAAATACGAATAACCCCATCTCTATTATAGAGTAGTGAGAAACAGTCTATGATTCTGTCCTTTTAGGAGCATCCTGGGAAAGTGCAGCTTGCCGAAGGCTATGCAGGCTGGTTCTTGTTTCTGGAGACACACGGGAATCAAGCTCCTAACTTCTAGCTCTGCAGTCAAGTATCCATTAACTCACTACCAGCAGAAAAATTACAGGGGAGTACGCTTTGTTTCCTTGTAGTGAAACACTGAAAAGCAAGTATTAGAATAAGAAGTCGTGTCAGTACATGAAAAACAAGGAATGATGGGAACTGCAGCCCAACAACCAGAGATGCCCACACAAAGCTAAACTCTCCACTTACCTTCATGTACCTACTTATTTTTCCATATGAGATGCACATATTTAATGTCGACAAGTATACACATCCATGAATATATTTATTCAAGTTCCTGGCCTGCTCTATCCATGACACTTGGGAGAAATTGTAACATAAAAACCCACTCAAAGTACTAGATACATGTATGGAGTAATTATTAACATTTCTGTGTTACTATTTGCAGAATCTTCATGAAGGAGTCAAACAAATTGCTGATTTTTATGAATTTCCTCTGCCTGAAGAGAAGATCCAGTCTATTGCAGAAAAAGCTACCTTCCAAACAATGAAAAGTGAAGCCCCTGAAAAAATTGGTGCATTTGCTCCCATCATTTTCAGGAAAGGTACTATATTATTCAGAGAAACAATATCATTTTGACATACAGTACTAAAGTGAATATGCAGCAACTTAAAAAACACAGGAGCCCTCTAGTGGAAGTATATATTGTTAGAAACACACTGTGATTGCAATATTTTTGACCCAACTGCAGTCTTCCTCACTTCATTACATACATAGAAAAACAAGTGCAGAGGGAATCCTTTAAAAGGCTCTTAAATACCTCTTTCCTTCTGTTGCTAGAAAACTCTCTTGGCCCTGGGAGATCTTACACCATTCATGATTTAATTATACAGTAATTTTGATTTTAAGTTTACCCATATCACACAGGCCAAGTGAGGCACATGCGTTCTATCCAAGCATTACGTTTTAACTAGTTGTCATGTATACTAAGTGAAACATACAATGAAATGTATCAACATAAGTCATGCAGAACTGATACATCTAGTGTAATGTCTACTCAGAGGTTCCACTGAGTATAGTGGAACTTACATTCTGATAGATGATACATATTTGTATAATTTAAGTACTCCGTAATATACTTCTGAAAATGCCACCAAATTAAATTCCAAGCCTAAACTTTCCTTTTTATTTTCTATGACTTAGAGAACTGACAAAATTAGCACAGTTTAAGGACTCTGTTCTACATAGAGTTCTGTGTTTAATTGTTACTCAGTTTGGAATTTTTTAAAACCGTGTATCATTTTAGCTTATGTATAAGATCCAAGGCAGGAAAGTCGATTTCAGAATTAAACATGTTTATACTATACAGAAATTATAATCTGCCCGACATCCAGAGGCTGGAATCCTGTTGCTTAGCATAATAAATTGCATTAGATTTATCTAATGCATTTTGATCCTTTTTAGTAGGCCCATTGAATTGGTAGGGATTTAGGGAGTCAACGCCTCCGTAATTTCCAGGGATTCAAATAGCCCTAATCAAGTTGTTTTACCTTATTGACTTACTACAGTTAGTAACAACTAAAGGAAGGCCATTAAAGTATAATGAAATTACCATTTTTACACACACACACACACAGAGAGAGAGAGAGAGAGAGAGAGAGAGATTTTTCCTCCTCTCCACTGCAAAAGAACAAGTTTTGTTTTTCTTTTGTTTTGGTCTATCTCAGGGAAGTTGAGCATCGGAGAGATTGATTTTTGCATGCAAAATAAACATCTACAACAAGCACAGAAACAGAAGCACAGAATGGAGTGTTTGTGTCTATCTGACTAATCAGTTTGTCTTTTCAAACCTGCTGGGCATATTTATTTCACTTCATAAGCTCAGGCAGTGGCAAAAATCCCTTGACATTCCTATCATTGGTGCAACTTTCGGTTCCTTGCTTTGTTCACACACGAGCTGTGTTTTGTTTCAGGGAGGAGCTTAGAATCTATCTGAGTCACCTCTGGCTTTCCCAGACCACCGGGACTCACTCAGCTGCTCCCATAGAGACATGTCCAGGCAAAAGACCTTGAGAAAAAGCTATTTATTTCCAGGCATCTGGGGACCCAAGGTGGACAACTGTTCTAGTGGAACCTGTACGTACGTACATATGTACACAAATCCTTACTTAAGTCCCTAATTAATTATGTGTCAACGTGGAATGCTATACTACATCCCCACCTAAAAGCTCCACTGGCCGCCAATGAACTTCCAAGTAGAATTCATGGTGTTGGGTCTTGCCTATAAAGCCCTACAGGGCTTCCGATCAACATACCTCAAGGAGCACACCTCCCTTTCTCAGCCTGGTTGAGTGTTAAGATAATCAGGACAGACATTTCTCTCGGTCCTGCTCTTGAACTCTCTCCCAAGCGGAGACAAGGCTGGCCCCATCCTTGCGGTCCTTCTGCAAGCAGGCGGAGACCATTCTCTCCCTGCCCAAGTGACTGCCTGCCCGAGTGTGTTTTGGTGTTGCTTATGATTTTTGTATGGCATTTCTTTGATCCTTTTTAGTATTTGTATGCTCACTGTTGTTGGTTTTAAATAATTAAATAAACTGATGGGCTACGCAGTGTGATCAGGGTTTACTTCTGAAAAGAGTTGTAGAACTGAACTGTAAAGCATTAATAGAATATGTTAGTAATAACATTCCAAAATAACACACTGAATAGTTGAGTCTCTCTATAGGGAGACACAAATACAGTAATATATTTTTCATTGTTTCTGTCCAGGTGTAGTGGGTGACTGGAAGACTTTGTTCACTGAAGCTCAGAGCCAAGAAATGGATGCAAAATTTGAAGAGTGTTTAGCAGGAACAAAATTGGGTACAAAGTTAAAGTATGATAAATACTGCAAGTTCTAAATCTGGAGTCATGGGACAAAGGCCTTCTTCAGATATACAGTTTCAAAATAAAGTCTATGAGTGGTGTAGGCACCTATGTACTTGTGAATGAAACTGCATATGTTATGGGGATGAATATTAATTTTCTCAGTGTCCTTACTAAAGGTTAACAAATCCTTAATAACATTTCCTAGTGTTTTTTCTTTAACGTCTATGGACTCTAAATTCTTCACATTTTAACTGGGAAGAAATTTTGAAATTAACATGTACTGTATATAGCTAACTAACTGGCACTTAGGAGTATCAATAAATCACTCAGAGACATATGTAGGAGAAAGAATAAAAAGTTTAATTACTTACGGTTTTGGACAGATCAACAGCAAACAAACAACTGCAGAGTCTCAATAATTCACTCAGAGACATATGTATAAAAAGAATAAAGAATAAAAGAATAAAGAATAAAAAGTTTAATTACTTACAGTTTTGGACAGATCAACAGTAAACAAACAACTGCCACCAACCCAGGAATGAGACTGAAAAAGAGAACTCAGCAGAGAGGTGTGAGCCATGCCACCACTACCTCTTTCCTTCGTGTGGGAGGAAGAAGGAAGTTGCCCCTATCTTAAGTTGGAAGCTGCAGCTGAGGTAGATGTGGGGCGCTGTCATTGTCAGTGCCATGAGGAGCTGCTAGACATGTCATTGGGAAGGATGCTCTCTAGGGTTGCTGAAGTGGGAGCTAACTACCGGGGGCCATGTTGACGTGTTGGCCAGGCTGGTATTCCCACACAGAATCCAGAGTACTGCCACCAGCCAAGCCATGGATCAGGGCCAGTCACTCAAAGCCTGTATGTAGCTGTGAGGAAGAAAGGACAAAAGATGGTGTGCCATCCCCTCCCATCCGAAAGCCTGAAAGAGATTCTGAAGAAACTTTGTATATGATAGACCTGAGGGCAGGAATAGAGGACTTGAATGTGCAGTCAAAGAAAAGCCTGGGAAAGGAGAGAAGGCTAGAGATGGTGGTTTTCATGGGACAAGAGGGATATAAAGAGGGAACGGCTATTGGAGGAGTGGCTGTGGAATGCTGGCAGGAGCAGAGGAAGAGAAGAGGGAAGAAGAAGGCTGGGAAGAGATTATCAAAGAAGGCCTGTGGACCAAGGAATGGGTACATTTGAGGTTCCCTTAGGAAGTGGCTGAGGCAGAGAGGTGGGAGAAAAAGGCACAAAAGCCACCTTATTGGGGTGAAACTGCAGAAAGAGAAAGGGAAAAAGAAAGAGTAGTTTGAGAGTTAGGCCAGTAACCCCAAGGCTTGGAAATGTCTGTCTTCCCATGGGATTAACTGTGGGAGGAGGCAACTCCACCTGTCATTACAAGGACCCGGGCAAGAGAGTGTGGGAACCTGGAATCAAATGGGTGTTCCATCTGTAAACATGAACTCAGAACAAAGAACCCCCATTCTATGGGGGCGACATGTTGTCCCCCTTTCCAAGTTATGTCAACCCTTCAGAAAAGGATGTTGAGACTTTGGGTAAAGGACTTTCCACTCCATGAGTGGACATCTTGAAAGAAAAGGCAGTTAACGTTGAGTTACCTCCTGTTACATTTTCATTGAATAAAAACGTTGGCTTGAAACTCAAGGGGAGCCTGACACCTTGATTGAGGGAACTGAATCTAAGGTGGGAGTGGTCTTTCCAGGACCTCACAGTAGCAGAGAGGTGGGACTCTCATTGAAATCAATGACTGGTAGGACTGACTAGTTAGTGCTAGATGGAAAGGCAATCACCCCAGCCCAGGGGTTTCCAACCTTTTTCAAGTTGTGTCCCCTTTATAATAACCAAGTTACCTGTGGACCCCCCCACACACAAAATGTTTGCATAAAAAAGCATTTTCAATAGAGTCAAGTCATCCTCAGAGGCTGATAACAGAAGACCACAGCTCAGTTCTTGACCCAGTGCTCTTCAACTTTTTTATTAATGACCAGGATTGGGGGTGCAGGAAATGCTAATCAAATTTGTGGATTACACAAAATTGGGTGGAAGATCGAATACCCTGGATTACAGATCAAAATTCAAACTGATCTGGAGAACTAGGCTGAAAACAACAGAATGAAATTCAGCAGGGATAAATGCAAAGTACTGCATCTAGGACAAAGAAACCAAACACACAGTTACAAGGTGGGGGACACCTGGCTGAGCAATACTATAAGCAAGAAGAATCTTGGAATTGTAGATCACAAACTGAATATGAGCCAACAGTGTGATGTTGCTACAAAAAAGGCAAATGCTATTTTAGGTTGCATTAATAAAAATATAATATACAAATACCGTGAGGTACTGGTTCCCCTCTATTTGGCACTGGTTAGGCCTCATCTTGAAGATTGTGTCCAGTTCTGGACAAACTTCAAGAAGGATGCTGACAAATTGGAACAAGTTCAGAGGAGGGCAACAAGGATGAGCAGGGGGATGGAAACCAAGTCATATGAGGAAAGACTAAAAGAATTGGGCATGTTTAGCCTTAAGAAAATAAGACTGAGGGGAGATAGGATAACACTTTTCAAATACTTAAGGCTGTCATTCAGAGGAGGGGCAGGATCTGTTCTCGATCATCCCAGAGTGCAGGACATACAACAATGGGCTCAAGTTCCAGAAAGCTAGATATAAGTTGTATATCAGGAAAAACTTCCTAACTGTTAGAGCAGTATGACAATGGAACCAATTACCTTGAGAAGTAATGAGTGCTCCAAGATTGGAGGTATTCAAGAAAAATTTAGACAATCACGTGTGGCAGATATCCTTTTATTTGTGTTCCTGCGCTGAGCAGGTGGTTGGACTCGATGGTCTTATAGAGACCTTCCAACTTCATTATTCTATGATTCTTTTCCCCCAAGGATCATGTTTCTCATACAGACATGTGCATGATAACTTTAATATCCCATTCTGAAAGGTCAAGGAACTATTTAGCAAGGGCTACAACACATATAGGGTGGACAGGGCAGACAGAGTGAACAGACTAGATTTGGTAGACAGAGTGCCTGAAGAACTTTAGATAGAGGCTTGTAACATTGTCCAGGAGGCAGCAACAAAAAACATCCCAAAGAAAAGGAAATGCAAGAAAGCAAAGTGGCTGTCCAACGAGGCCTTATAAATGGCAGAGAAGAGAAGGGAAACAAAATGCAAGGGAGATAGGGAAAGTTACAGAAAACTGAGTGCAGACTTCCAAAGAATAGCAAGGAGAGACAAGAGGGCCTTCTTAAATGAACAATGCAAAGAAATAGAGGAAAATAATAGAAAAGCAAAAACCAGAGATCTGTTTAGGAAAATTGGAGATATTAAAGGAACATTTTGTGCAAAGATGGACATGATAAAGGACAAAAATGGGAGGGACCTAACAGAAGCAGAAGGCATTAAGAAGAGGTGGCAAGAATACACAGAGGAATTACACCAGAAATATTTAGATATCCCGGACAACCCAGATAGTGTGGTTGCTGACCTTGAGCCAGACATCCTGGAGAGTGAAGTCAAGTGGGCCTTAGAAAGCCTGGCTAACAACAAGGCCAGTGGAGGTGATGACATTCCAGTTGAACTATTTAAAATCTTAAAAGATGACACTGTTAAGGTGCTACATTCAATATGCTAGCAAGTTTGGAAAACTCAACAGTGACCAGAGACATGGAAAAGATCAGTCTACATCCCAATCCCAAAGAAGGGCAGTGCCAAAGAATGCGCCAACTACCGTACAATTGCACTCATTTCACACACTAACAAGGTTATGCTCAAAATCCTCCAAAGTAGGCTTCAGCAGTATGTGGACCGAGAACTCCCAGAAGTACAAGCTGGATTTCGAAGGGGCAGATGAACTAGAGACCAAATTGCTAACATGCGCTGAATTATGGAGAAAGCCAGAGAGTTCCAGAAAAACATTTACTTCTGCTTCATTGACTAAATATTCCACATGTATGAACTGGAGATTGGTTCAAAACTGGGAAAGGAGTACGGCAAGGCTGTATATTGTCCCCCTGCTTATTTATCTTATATGCAGAATACATCATGCGGAAGGCTGGACTGGAGGAATCCCAAGCCGGAATTAAGATTGCCAGAAGAAATATCAACAAACTCCGATATGCAGATGATACCATTCTGATGACAGAAAGTGAGGAGGATTTAAAGAACCTCTTAATGAGGGTGAAAGAGGAGAGCACAAAAAATGAGCTGAAGCACAACATCAAAAAACACTAAGATCATGGCCACTGGTCCCATCACCTCCTGGCAAATAGAAGGGGAAGATACGGAGGCAGTGACAGATTTTACTTTCTTGGGCTCCGTGATCACTGCAGATGGTGACAGCAGCCATTAAATTAAAAGACACCTGCTTCTTGGGAGGAAAGCGATGACAAACCTCAACAGCATCTTAAAAAGCGGAGACATCACCTTGCCAACAAAAGTCCACATAGTCAAAGCTATGGTTTTTCCTATAGTGATGTCTGGAAGTGAGCGCTGGACCATAAAGAAGGCTGACAGCCGAAGAATTGATGCTTTTGAATTGTGCTGCTGTAGGAGACTGTTGAGAGTCCCCTGGACTGCAAGGAGAACAAACCTATCCATTCTAAAGGAAATCAACCCTGAGTGCTCACTGGAAGGACAGATCCTGAAGCTGAGGCTCCAATTCTTTGGCCATCTCATGAGAAGAGAAGACTCCCTGGAAAAGACACTGATGTCAGGAAAGTGTGAAGGCAAGAGGAGAAGGGGACAACAGAGAATAAGATGGTTGGACAGTGTCATCGAAGCTACCAACATGAATTTGACCCAACTTTGGGAGGCAGTTGAAGACAAGAGGGCCTGGTGTGCTCTGGTCCATGGGGTCACGAAGAGTCGGACATTACTTAACGACTAAACAACAATAACACATATAAGGCAACCCGTGACACCCCCACCCCAAAAATACACTTCATGACTCCCTTGGGGGTCATGATCTCCAAAGCTGGCAGACACTATCTTAGCCCAAAAAACTCCCTCCAGTCAAGCGACAGTCAGTATGTGAGATTGCGAATAAAAACTCCAACAGATCAGTGTGAACAGAAGGATCTCTCAAGTGAGAGATAACCTTT